CAAGACTGAGGGACTTTATCAAGTTGGGGGAAAGAACATTGTAGCCGCATTTGAAAGAAAATTGACAGGGTATGGAATTTGAGCCAGTAATGTCCAAGTAATGGCCAACACCAACTGGAGTCCATGCCCAGAAGAGTTAGCTAATACTTGAGAGGAAATGCCACTGTGTATATGTCAATCATTGTCAACATGCTACACATTTTGACATTAGAAATTAAAAGAACCTTAAGAATAAATTTGCACGTGTTTGCATTTTCCAAATCTGTAGGCTGGTGTTTTCTGAGAATGTTACCTCTTTCTTTCAGTACTTTGAGGAATATAAGACTCATAGCAAAGGAAGAAATTTGTTAAAACATGTTGTATTTCTTATTGCAAACCTACCCACACTGTGGGTCAAATTGTTTCATTAACTCATGAAACCAGTTCTCTTATTCTTTTATAATTGCGATTTTTATCTTTTACTTTTTTTTTTTTTTTTTTTTTGCAGTTTTTGGCCAGGCCTGGGTTTGAACCCACCAGCTCCGGCATATGGGGCTGGTGCCCTATTCCGTTGAGCGACAGGCGCCGCCCTATTTTTTACTTTTTATTGCGGTCAACATTACTAAAGGAAGATTTCCTCCTTTGACTGTTGGTACTGTCAGTTCTCTGGGAATAGGAAAGTCACAGGCAAGATCGGGCTTGGAGGAGCAGAATCTGAGATAAAATCTACTTGAAATAGTGAGGGGTCTTCTGTCTCTTAGTCTGATTATTTGGTTCCATGTCCCTTTCAGAAAGAGTTTATCTCCATACAAACAAATCATGATATCAGATTTGGCTGAAAAAGAAGGTATTATTTTATTGTTTTTTCTTTCTTTAGGAGAGGGAATCATGGTGCTTTCCTTATTTCAAACATATAAACTCAATCTATCCTGAATAAAGACTAACAGCATCTAATTCCTTTCATTTTGCTAGCAATGACTCAGTAGTGCGCAGAAGTACAAATCTTCATCTCTCTATTCTTACTGTGCATTTAATCTCTGACCTAACACCTAATTTGTTTGATTCGTTATTGCTGCTTTTGTGCGAGTCTTTCACAGGTAAGGGAAAAAAAAAAAAAACCCAAACAAAAACCCCCCCAAACCATTCAACTAATGACTTTAGCAGTTAGGAATGTGACCACAAGATGGTAGTATATCTCCTCTTACTCAGAATATGGAGGGTTCGTTTTAGGCGGATTCTGAATCCATAGGCTTACAAGAAGCAGAGCCTTTTTCTTATTGGCTGGGGAGACAAGTGGTGAGAAACCACTGTGATTGTTAAATGATAATAGAAGTAGCTCTAATGGTTGGAAAGCACAGGTCTGAGACTGATTTTAACTGGGGAAGAACAATGAAGACATTTATTCAAGCTTTGTTTATGTTCTTGTGGCTGCAGCTAGACTGTGAGTTGAGGGTTTTGGGGAAAAAGTGTATTAATGGATATTCTTTAGAAGTCCAAAGAGGAGAATAATTTATTCAGGCTTCTTTAGTTACTAAAGAAAAAAATTTCTAGAGAATAATAATCTAACAATCTTCCTTTCTCTGACTTTTTCTTTCTGCGTAGGGGTGAGCAGAGGAGAGAATGTGGAGCAGAGTCCTTCTACCCTGCGTGTCCGGGAGGGAGACAGCTCTGTTATCAACTGTACTTATTCAGACAGTGCTTCCAGCTACTTCCCTTGGTATAAGCAAGAACTTGGAAAAGGCCCCCAGCTCTTTATAGACATTAGGTCCAATGTGAACAGAAAAAATAAAACACAAAGAATTGCTGTTTTATTGAATAAGGTGGCCAAACATCTCTCCCTGCACATTGAAAGCGCCCAACCTGGAGACTCAGCTGTCTACTTCTGCGCAGCAGGCACACATTGCTTCTCAAGCACCTGCAGCTTGTACTCAAACCTGATGCTGGGCCTGAAGGCCCATGTCTTTCCTTTGGCACTGACCTTCAGCCATAGCACTTGTCACATTGTTTATATGCAAGTGAAAACTAACACATGGAAATTAAAAGCATAAAATAAGTCTAGGTTCAAGATGACTCAGAAAGGGTTAAACCATTTGTTGACTTATTTTTGCTTAATGCATTCTTAAAGAGAATTACTCAAGATTGAATTTCTTCACCTCTGCAGGGCTCCAGCCTGTGTGGAGGGTATGGCATTCAGTTGGCTGCTCAGCCAGTGTCTACTCACTGACCAATCAGGTCAGTGCATGCACTCAAGGCCTGACCTCAGGCTCCCTGGCTATGGCCATGTGCCAGCTGGGCCTCTATGCCCTGCCAGGCTGCTCTGCATGTACCGCCACCAAGTTTGTGTTCTTTAACCAATTTTTGTAGCTATGTTTTTAAAAAACAGTTTTGTCTTTCAACTTTCACATTAGAGATATAATTGATTCATACCACCATTGCAGAATAATCATTCTGAGTTTGAGTATTTGCTAATTGGTGAGTTTTATAATTTCACATACCTTCATGTTGCTACTTAGTGATTTTTTTCTTCAGTTTGAAGGACTGACTTTAGCACTCTCTGTATCATAACTGTAGTAGACATACGTTCCCTCTGCTTTTGTCTAAGAAAAGTTTTTGTCTTTCTTTTATGAAGGATGGGAATTCTGGGTGTAATAATGTTGGCTGGTAGCTTTTTTCTTTTAGCTTTTTGAATATGTTACTCTACCCTTTTTGGGCCTGCCAAAATTCTTTTGAAAACTTTGTAGAAGTTTTGTATGTAACAAGTCACTTTTCTCTTTTGGCTTTTAATATTCTCTGTTTTTAACTTTTGACAATTTTATTATTGTATGACTTGTTGTGGATCTCTTGGGATTCATCCTATGAAGTGTCCATTGAATTTCCTGGACCTGAATTTCTATTTCTTCTATAGACTTGCAGAGAAGCTGAGAGCCAGAGTTTATCTTTTAATCATTCTTCCCTATACCAAAAAGAATTACAGAATTGCCTCTACTCTTGATCAGGTTGTTCATTTTGAACCTGGGGAGATAAATGCAGAATGTTTTAAAGTTTAAGTCACATTTTTGTTCTTTGTGGTCTAAAAGACTCATGAGTGCAGAGCTCTGTATACTTCCAGAGCTGGAAGATTCATAATCCAGTCCTTTGGATGAAGGCTATACAAGTTGGGGTGTTCAATACATGCAGAAACTACTTACTATAAAAGTCTGTAAATCTGGATTTATTGCTGAAGTAAGCCAGGGAATAGGGTGTAGGGAGTGCCCACCCTTCTTTCTGAGCAAGAACGAGTCACACCTTCCTATTCTTGTCTGGAGTTATTAGTGAAGGAAGTTGGGGAGGAAGGCTCAGGAAGTGCCTACTTTCTCTGTTAGGCTCATGTTCCCACTTAGGCCTTGTAGGCATGTTCCCAGTTTCCCTCTAATAAGAGATTACAGAAATTTATCCAATAGCAAGATAGGAAACAGGTGCAGGAGTGATATCCCTCCTGTTCTTATTGATATAAGATTCCAATATCATTCTATGAAGACACTGTAGGGTTGGGATTACTGCCACAGAAAGCTGGGGAATAAGATATTAGGTATTAGTTCTTTTGGGGAATGTAAACTAATTCAACTTCTATGGAAAACAGTATGGAGATTTTTCAAAGAACTAAAAGTAGAACTACAATTTGATTCATCAAGCTCACTACTATTTTCCCAAAGAAAAAAGTCGTTTTATGAAAAAGACACCTATACCTGAATATTTAGACAACACAATTCACAATTGCAAACATATGGAATCAACATAAGTGCACATCAACTGATAAATAAATAAATAAAATGTATATATATATCATTGAGTATTACTCAGTTGTAAAAAGGAAAAAATAACATCTTTTGCAGCAACTTGGAGGGAATGGGCACCATTATCCTAAGTGAAGTACCTCAGTAATTGAAAAACAAGTATTACATTTTCTCACTATAAGTGGGAGCTATCATGTTTCCCTGAAAATAAGACACTGTCTTAAATTTATTTTTTCTCCAGAAGACACACTAGGGCTTATTTCCAGGGGATGTCTTATTTTTATTAAGTATAAACGACAATCTACATTTATTCAAATACAGTTAAATCATCTTCTTCTGGAACCTGACAGGGGGAGCTGACCTTGTTGGTGGGGCTGGTGCTAGTGATGCATGAACTCCTTTCCCCTAGCCGTTCGCACGTACTCAATAGGATGCCTGCTACTGTGGTTACCACCTGTGCACCCCCGCAAGTGTGAACAGCTCAGAGGAAGGAGCTGTGGCAGATAGAAGGTATTCCAGTCTTCCTTACTGCTCCACACTGAAATGCGTATCTGCATAGCCATGCCCATCACTAGGTCTTATTATTGGTGTAGGGCTTATATTTAACAAATGCATAGAAATCCTGCTAGGGCTTATTTTTTCGGTGGATCTTATTTTCAGGGAAACATGGTAAATGAAGGAAATATATGACCATAAAGTGGTATAATGGACATTGACAACGAAAAAGGGGGGAGGTGGGGGGAGGAATAAAAATCACCTATGGGGTATGGTGAATACTATTCTTGGGACAAGTCCATTAAAAGCCCCGACTTTAGTATTATACAATTTATCCATGTAACAGCAATAATGCCAATGACAACAACAACAACATAAAGTCTTCTAAGTGTATTGAAATATAAAAACAGAAGCAAGAAACAAATTCAACAACTGAACATAGTAGTTGGCCAAACTGTTTCCTTTGAAAAGTTTCCTGTTTTTTCAGATTTAATTGTTATCACATTAACTGTTGGTTAATCCAAAAAGAAGTTTGCTTTAAGTGAGGATCTCAGTCAATTCACAGAGTAGTTTGACATGACACACACCAACTTACTACTCCAGGAAACCTTTGTTTCCTGCTCTAGGGCAGCAGCAACAGCAGCAGCACCACGCAGCCCAGTGACTCTTCTCTCTTTCTGTCAGGTTCACCTCACAGCACAGAGCCCTGGAACCACTGAAGAAGGTGTTGTCCCTGTAGAGGAAGAAACAGACATGCTGCTCTGCAACCTGCTGAAGGTGGTCATAGCTTCGATGTGGCTAGGTAGGGATAGACCAGTGGGAATATGCTTCCTCTATGACCTGAGAACCAGGGGCACAGGATGGCTTTATGGAGATGTTGGGAAGGAGGGATAGCAGGGTATAAAAATAGAATTTCTTTGTCCCATACCACTTGTACCTAAATCTTCCATTTCAATCTTTTTTCTTTCAGGATCTGGTATTGCCCAGGAGGTAACTCAAATCCAATCAACAATCTTGGTGCAAGAGAAGGAGGCTGTGACACTGGGATGTACATATGACACCAGTCAGAGTAGTTACAGTCTATTCTGGTACAAGCAGCCCAGCAGTGCGGAGATGATCCTCATTATTCGCCAGGACTCCTATAGCCAGAAAAATGAAACAAAAGGTCGCTACTCACTGAATTTCCAGAAGGCCAACAAATTGATAAACTTTGTCATCTCAGCTTCACAACTGGGGGACTCAGCAATATATTTCTGTGCACTGAGAGAACACACAGTGAGAGAACTGTTGAAAGAAGGTGTACAGAAACCCAAGGAGTTGGCTTGCAACATCCACCTGCTATTGGGACCAAGCAGGGAATCACCATCACAGGCAGGAAGTGGCTAGGCCTGTGGCAACACAGCTGCAGAGTTAGAGGGAAACACAATCCTAAGGAAATACTTCTTTTTTTTTTTTTTTTTGCAGTTTTTGGCCGGGGCTGGGTTTGAACTCACCACCTCTGGTTTATGGGGCTGGCACCCTATTCCTTTGAGCCACAGGTGCTGACCAGGAAATGCTTCTGAACATTCACAGAGCATATCCAGAATTATCATTCATCAAAAACATTCTTATCTCTGCATCTTTGGCTTGAGGTTAAATACAGAAGGTTTGAGTGGAGATAGATAAGAAAAAACAGCCATAATAAAAAATTTGCCTTTTGGCCATTAGATTGAACTAGAATAATTGATTAAAGAAGTTCAGAAAAATATGTCTGAAATATCAGTGAAAACATTTGTGAATTGCTGGATTTTTTAGATTAACTTATTCAATAAATACTTACAGAGTACCTAATGTTTTAATTACAGAGGTCTTAAAATCTGTTTTCTTTCTTCAAGAATACAAGAGAAATGAGAAAATGTGGATCTGTCAATATGTTTTTAAAAATATTTGTGCAATAAATGCTTCATGTTTTCCTGTCATGGAAGGTGCACTGTCTGAACATACACTCACTAAATTTGCCAAATTCAGTCTAACTTCACTAAATTTATCTTGAGAGTTAAAGATATCTGTTCCCTATTTTCTATTCATAAGAGTACCCAAAGCTACTCTTTGTAGCAAAGAGCATGTTTGTTATGACCCAAATGAGGTACAAATACTATGTGGAGTCCAGTTGGTTCATCCAAAGCAACTGAATAATATATATTTTCCTTTTTAAGTATTGCATGAAGTTGTTCTGCTAAGTTGAGGGGCAAACATAGTTCATGGTAGAATTTCTGGTGTTGTGACAATTGAATAGGAAAGGAATATTTCTCTCATGTGTGTTAAGTCAATTCATATAAGTCAAAAATGTCAGGCATACATGGGAGTATAAACACTATAGTATAATCATTCTATTCTCTTAATAGAAATTGTTAGAATTCCCCTCAAAATTTAGTTAAAGTTTAAATATAAAAGGGCCAGGCTGTACATGGGACTCAGTCCTATAATCCTAGTACTTAGGGTGATCAAGGCAGGAGGATGGCTTGCAATCAGGAGGCTGAGATCAGCTTCAGGAAGAGTGAGACCCTGTCTCTACTGAAAATAGAAAAATTAGCCAAAATTATGGCAGGTGCCTGTCCTAGTTACTTTGTAGCTAAAGCAGGAGAATTGGTTCAGCTCAAGAATTTGAGGTTCCTCTGAGTTAGGCTGACACCACAGTCCTCTAGCCTGGACAACAGAGTGAAGCTTTGTATCAACAAAACAAAACAAAAACTGAACAAACAATACTCTTCTTTCACTTTACGGTGTACTTATGCAGAATTTGTAATAGGGCTTAATTTTTAAAGGTAATTTTTATTAATAGCAATTAAAAATACCAAGTCAGAAAAAAATAAGACCTGCTCTAGTTTCTGTACAATAGAGACATAGGAACATTAATTCTTTACCTTATTTATCTAATCTAGCGAATATAAAATTGCATAATTTGATTTCAGTTGATGTATTTTCATCAAAAATTGAAAAATAAGTCAATTCAGGGGATTATGGGAAGATGGTTGACTAGAAGCAGCTTTCCCCAGAGGCTTGTGCCCAAAGGGAGAGGTATTGGACTGATGTGGTTGGAAGCTGAATGGGAGGATCTCCACACTGAGAGCACTGTGTAAGGTACACATCACCCAGGCCAATTCAAGTGGCAGAAACAAGAAAGTGGAAGAAAAACAACAGTGCAGCAGTGGCACTGCAGTGGTGAGGTATGGACTCATCAGAGTCAACCTATCAATTCAACTGAAAGAATATAATCAACATATTGAAAAAGAGGAAGAATCTGAAAATACTCATGTGGAAATATAATGGACCAAGAGTAGCCCAAGAAACTTTGGAAAAGAACAAAGTTGGAGAGCTAACACTCCTGGACTTCAGACAGTATTCTTCAATATCAAGACAGTGTGGCATTTGTGTACAGATGACAAATTAATGGAACAGAATAGAGAGTCTAGAAATACACCTACACATATATGGACAACTAATATTTGACAAAGGTGCAGAGGCAATTTAATGACACAGGCATAGTTTTTAATATTTAATTGCTGAAAAATTGAATATTCATATGCCAAAAATCAACTTTGACTCTTACCCCATACCATATACAATAGATATACTGAAAGTTGATCATAGACATGTAAAACCTAAAACTATAACACCTCTACAAAAAAGCCATAGGAGAAAATCTGTGACCTTGGCCTATGTGACAATTTCTTAGGTATGATTATAAAACATAATCCATACAAGAAAATAAATTATTAAATTGGACTTCATAAAATAATAACTTCTGCCTTTCGAAAGAACATCAGTAGAGTTAAGAGATAAACTATAGAATGGGAAAAATACTTGCATGTCATGTATCTGATAAAGGAGTTGATTTCAACTGTATAAAGAACCATCAAAAGTCAATTAAAAAAAAGAAAGATTTGACTATTTGAACTTACTTCAGAAAAGAAACTACATTAATGGGAAATTGGTGCATGGAAAGATGCTCATCATCCTTATTCTTTAAGGATATACAAATTAAAATCACAATGAGTAGCCAGGCATTGTGGTGGGTGCCTGTATTCCCAGCCACTTGGGAGGCTGAGGTAAGAGAATCACTGAAGCCCAAGAGTTTGAGGTTGCTGTGAGCTGTGACACCAGAACACTCTATACCAAGGGTGACATATTGAGACTCTGTCTCAAAAAGTAAATAAAAATAAAATAAAATCACAATGAGGAATCACTACATACCCTACGTTAGAGAGGTAGACAAGGATGTAGACCATCTGGTACTCAATATATTACTAGAGGGAGTATACAATGGTATAATTGCTTTGGAAAACAGCCTGTTAGTTTCTTGATGAATCAAATATACACTTACCATAGGCTGTAGCCATTCTACTCCTAGATATTTTTATAAGAGAAATGAAAGCATATTAGTACACAAAGTATACATATATGTTCATAGTAGTTTTATTATAATAGCCTCAAATTGTAATTAAATAAAATGTACAACAGGAAAATGGATGAAAAAATTACTTTATGCCTATGTAATAAAATAGTACTACTCAGCAATAAAAATCCACAAATCATTAATCCATATAATACCATGGAAAACTCTCAAAATAATTATGCTGAGTGAAAGAAGATAGACCAAAAAAGCACATATGATTTAATTTGTAGAAGTTTTTAAACATAAAAATGAACCTATAGTGACAGCAGAGTTGCCTGGATATGAAGGGGGAAGATGGGAAGTACGTTGGGTGTATGATTATAAAGAGACATGAGGAACTTTTTGGGTGACACACGTGTTCATTGTGTTGATTGTGGAGGTAGCCTCACAAGACTATATGTATGTCAAGTCTTGTAATACATGTATTGTTCATCCTAACTAGGTGCAGTTTATTTTTATGCCAATTATACATTAATAACCCATTAAAAAATCCAAGTTTAACAAGTGTCTTTTCTCAATGTTGTATAAGTCTTCTGGTATGACCCCAAATGCAAAATGCTTTGGCTGGGTTTAAATCACTTTATAAAGTAAAGGTGAGAACTTTCTGCACACATGCGCTCTAACATCATTCCAACTTATTTTGCAGTCTCCTCTGCATATCAGAAAGAAGGTTGTAGCTGACTTTGCAGAATACCTTTCGAGCTACTTCTGTGCCAGTTTCTGACAATATGATATGGAAGGTGGAGGCAAAAAAGGGATATGTGGTCCCAAATGATAGCTGGGACTGTATGTTTTACTTACATCTGTATCTGGGAAACTATTCATATATTGACTCTGAATACATGAAATTAGTTCCTCTGAATCTGTGGAGGATAAACAAAAAGCAGACTGAGGTTAGTCTCTATCTGTGAGGATAGCCTTAGGTGTTTACAAGGCCTTTCACAAAATTTCATTCTTCTAAATTTGTCCTGATAATACCCAAAGAGGTTGTGCTTTTATTTTGTTTTGTTATAAAATGAAAAGTCTTACATTAAAATGCTTGTTCTTTTGATGATACTTCATAAAAAAGACTAGGTTAAAAAGATTGTAGTCATTTTCCAATAATGAATTAGAGTACTCTCTGGAATAGAACACTATTCACAGACGAAATCTTGTAGACTCGTATTAAACTGAGGTCAACAAAACCCCCTGAAGAGTTTTATAAGACAACTTCTTAGGTCTCAATGGTAGAAATTGGGATTCCTAAAGTTAGTGATGGAATCCCAGCATCTGCAAGTTCAAATTACTTATAAGTTGATTCTATCTTCAGCCAGTTTTGGAGACTGCAACATTTCCTGATGTGTCTTTGTCAATTGGAAAAGCCAGGGATGAGGAGAGTACTAAGTCATGCTCTAGCCTTTTGATGCAAATCCACATTTGGATTCCTACATTGCAGGGTAAAATTATTCAGCTGATGTTTTGAAACAAAATTTTGGCAGATATACAATGGTTGAAAGCATTCTTGGGGCTAGGTCAAGGCTAGCAGAGTATCTTTATGGTATGGAATTAGTATTTGTTACCTGACTAGCATATTCTAGTCTCCTTACTTTAGAGTCATTGAAATCATGAGGAAATAAGATATTGAACTTAGATCATTCCATAGAGATTCAGTAACTTTGATTATGATGTTTCTTTGGTCTAGGATTCTTTTTAATAATTCTGAAATACAGGAATATTTAATGATTGATAAGATAGTGTGACTTTGTTCCCTGAAAAGCTTTTATTAAAAAGTTAGCATTCTTTAGAATTAATATTATTTTAGAATTGAGGAAATATTGTCTTTCAAGTGGTAGTGATTATGGAATCAAAGACTTTGTGTTTACTGGAATGGATTTGAAACACATTCTTCATGGTAAATTATCTCAGGAATGGAAAAAAAATCCAACATACTCAATGCTAATATGAAACCCATATACAATCAACTACATTCCCACATGAAATATATAACACAAATATAGTCTAGCAAGGGGGAGGGGAGAGGAGAGAGATGGGAGAGAGAGGGATTGAGGGCAACTGGCAGGATCTCACCTAATATGCATAATCTGAGGTTGTTCAGCCCACTCCCTGGGTGAAGGGCTCACCCCCAACTTAAATTTTAGCTTAGAATTAAAAACAATTTAACTTAAACATTTGTGCCTTCATATTAATTTGAAATAAATTTTTTTCTGACAACTGCAGAGAAAATAACAAAAAATCTTTGTATTCATTCTTTTTTTTTTTTTGAGACAGAGCCTCCAGCTATTGCCCTAGGTAGAGTGCTGTAGCATCACAGCTCACAGCAACCTCCAGCTCCTGGGCTCAAGCGATTCTCCTGCCTCTGCCTACCAAGTAGCTGGGACTACAGGTGCCCGCCAAAATGCCCGGCTGTTTTTTGGTTGCAGCCGTCATTGTTTGGAGGGCCCGGGCTGGTTTCGAACCCGCCAGCTCAGGTGTATGTGGCTGGCACCTTAGCCACTTGAGCCACAGGCGCCTTGCCCATTCTTTTTGTTTTACTTGACAAATATTTATTGAGTACCTAGTAAGTCACTAATAGGCAGTCACTGTTCTACTTACAGGGGTACAGTGCTGCAAAACACAGAATCACTCAATAATGACTTGATTTTCGAATACTGGTCAGATTTCCACACCAAATCCATGCCTGATATAGGGTTATAGGCTGACCCACAATGAATACATGAAAATATGTATATAAAGGTCAGTATCAAAGTGTTCAAGAAAATTGTTATCTTCTCAGCTACAGATATATTCTGGGATGCTCCGTTAGGGAAATTCCATGTCAGGTGGTATCCCAAGAACAAAATAGACCTTAGAGTGTATGACAGATTTGTGATGGCCACCCAGAATGGCATGTGAGCCCAAACGCAAAATGTTCTGGCTGGGCTTAAATCATTTTTTAAACTATAAGTCAGAATATATAAATGAGGTCAGAGTTGAGGTCCTATTTCTGGCTTGTGGAAAGAAGCCATTAAAACCTTCATCCTTCCAGTGTACTCAATTCTGATATGAGGACAATTAAGGTCCTAGTACACGGTGAGGGGTGGAGGATGGGGAGAGCTGAGAAAGGGAAGGAGGGAGGAGGCAGGGGGACAAAGGGTGTAGTACACCTTTTGGGGGCAGAATACAATTATAAAGGGGTCCTTATTTAACAAAAGCAATCAATGTAACCTGGTTCTGTGTATTCTCAATGAATCCTCAACAATAAAAAGAAAAAAAAACCAACCCCCCCCCATACCCCAAACCCCAAACAAACAAAAAAACAAAGCTTCATCCTAGTTCAGTCTCTGCCCACCAGGGGGAGTGGCTTCCTAACACGCTCATTTCCTGTGTAAATTGCAGGTTAAGATTTATCATTAACACTTTGACGTCAACATTTCTTCCTGTTAAGAATCGAGAACATTATTTAGGCGACACTGTGAAGATGAACTCTTCTCCAGGCTTAGTGACTGTGATGCTCTTACTGCTTGGTAAGTAAAATGCAGGCTCTTTCTCCCATTGTGTGAGCAAAATCTTTAGCCATAACTTTATGTAAGAAAAAGTCACCAGGTTTCTTTTTTCCCCCACAGGAAGAACCCATGGAGACTCAGTGACCCAGAGGGAGGGTGAAGTGACCCTCTCAGAAGGGGATCTCCTGACAATAAACTGCACTTATACAGCCTCAGTGTATCCTACCCTTTTTTGGTACATCCAATATCCAGGTGAAGGTCCTCAGCTCCTCCTGAAAGCTGCAAAGGCCAATGATAAAGGGGTCAACAAAGGTTTCGAAGCAAAGTATCATAAAGAAACCACCTCCTTCCACTTGCAGAAAGCCTCAGTCCAGGAGTCAGATTCAGCTGTGTACTACTGTGCTCTGAGTGACACAGTGGCAGGAACTGCAGGGGGAGCTGAGCACAAACTCTGAGCAGCAGAGGGTCCCGGCTGTTGAGTGTCTGCCTCTGTGACCCACACTCAGGTTTCAGCATGATCTGTGGTTGTTTGTCTGGCTAGTACAGAAATCATACAGATGGTCACAGCAGAAGAGTCAGCAATAAACATCCTAATACCCAACTCTTCCTTAGTGAAATAGAAAACAGAGCCTGACATTATCCATCAAATGCTTCACAACAATGAAGTAATCTCTGTGCCGTCTTTGTAGACAAAATCTGGCCCCCACATCTGGTTCTAGGTCACGTTGAAAGATATTGTAAGTAGATATGTTTTATTTATTTTTAGATGGCCAAATATGCCAGAGTAGGTGGCATCTATATGATGCCTTCCTCACAGAATATCACATGAGAGATGATAGCAAAGCTACAGCCTTCTAGCAGCAGGTTTCTTAATCAAGAAAGAAAGGAAGAGAAGAAAGGAAGACAGTCTTACATGTGAGAAAACAATGCAAAGAGAGCAAACAACAATGCAAAGAGAGGATTTCATTATTGGAAAATTAGATGAGAGATACAGGCTAATGTTCAAAGACAAATGGAGGGGTCGAAGGCCCAAGGAATGACTCATGTCTAATTCATGAGATTCCTCAACGGTTCCATAGAACAGTTGGCTTTCTAACAAAAGTCCTCAAATGAGTTAGTTTTGCAGTGCAAATGCAAGATTAGTCACATGTATTTTTCTCTGCTTCACCCTTACTTTATGAAGATGCAGTAAAAATATTGAAAAGGCATAAACCCACAAAAAGTACAGGAGATGACATCAGATAGTGATGTCAACAAAACTTTAGAGGATGAGAAATATATGGAAAAATGAAAACTTGCATAGCAGACCATTTAAAGAAGAAAATTGAGTGAAGTAGAAACTAATAAGGAGCCCCCCAATGTGTCTTGTACCCTTGCTTTAGGGTTTAGAAAATTAGAGGCACCAATTGCCTTTGAATAATTAGGAAAGATAGGGGTGTGTGTGTGTGTGTGTGTGTGTGTGTGTGTGTGTGTTATTTAAGGTATTTGGAAAGGAGGGAATGAAAAGAGGACCAAGTGATAGAATTTATAAGTAACACACCACCCATACTGTCCACTGCTGCCTGTAGAACAAGCAAAAATCACTTTCTTAGCTGAAAATTGAAGTTAGTCTTTGATGATTTGAGGGATAGCAATATTCAGGAAAATGAACATGCTCTTAGTAGTCAATATGGTTCAATCAAATTGTCTTGTAGGTAATTTTCACTAATTTACACCATCCAGTACAGGCGATTAGGCAGTGGATTTCTTCTAAACCTTGTGGATTACTAAGACTTTTTACTTTGGCTTATCCATTGGGCTTTCTTTGTTTTTTTAAAAAATAATTCATTTAATTGTTAATGACAGGGAGAGTCTTTAATGACATTTAAAAACTGTTTCTTTTTTTGTTTGTTGCTCATTTTCTATTGTTTTTTTCTGCACATCTGCCATTTTTCCTGCTACCCCCTATTAAAAAAACTCACTCTTTCTTTACAAAAGTTTTTTTGAAGAGCAGTTTTAGGATACAGCAAAAGCGAGAGAAGAGTACAGAGATTTCCCTTATGCGCCTATCCCTCACCCACATTATCAACATCCTCCACTAGGGTGGTGTATTTATTACAACTGATGAACTTGCATTAAATTTATCATAGTCAAAGTCCATAATTTATATTGGGGTATATTGTTTGCATTTGGGAAAATGTATAATAATATAGATACGGCATTATAGCATCATATTGAGCACTTTTGAATGCTGTAAAAATTGTCTGTACTCTGCCTGTCTATCCTTTCCTCACCAAACCCCTTGCAACCACTGATCTTTTTACTGCGTTCAGAGTTATGCATTTTCCAGAATGTCTCATAATTGTAATCATAAAGTGTGCAGTCACTTCAGATTTATTTCTTTTACTTAGTAATATGTATTTCATGGTTCTCTCTGTGTTTTCATGTCTTGATAGTTCATGTTTTTATAGCACTAAATAATAATCTATTGTCTGGATATACCATAGTGTACACACCTCTTAAAGGGCATCTTTGTTGCTTCCAAGTTTTGGCAATTATGATTAAAACTGCTATAAATATCTTGATGTAGGTTTGGTGTAGACATAGGTTTCCACCTACATTGTGTAAAAACTGAGTAACATAATTACTGGATCATATGGAAAGAGTATGTTTTAATTTTGTCCAGAGGTTTTAACATCATTATTAAAAAGGCTATTTTTGTTTCATTATATTGATATTTCCTTTGCTTCTTTTTTAGAAATAGTTGACTATGTGGGTGTATTTTGAGGGTTTCTATTCTGTTTCACTGATATATTTGTCTATTGTTTTATAAATGCCGTAATCTCTTGATTACTATAAACTTATGTTGTTTTGATGTCAGATAGTGTTAGTCCTCTGACTTACTGTTTCTCCTTCAAAATTGTCTTGGATATCCTGGGTCTTTTGTCTTTCTATATGAGCTTTAAAATCAGTTTATCATGCCACTGCACTCTAGCCCAGGCAACAGAGTGAGACTCTATCTAAAAAAAAAAAAAATAAGCTTGTCAATATCCACAAAATTACTTGCTGGGATTTTGGGTGGGATTAAATTGAACCTACAGAACCAAGTTGGGAAAAATAAACATTTTCACATTGTTGAATCTTCTTATCCAGAAACATTAACATCTCATTTCTTCAGTTGTCTTTTGGTTTCTTTCATCAAAGTTTATAGTTTTCCTCATGTGAATTTGACATATTTTGTTATATTTATATCTACATATTTTATGTTTTGGGTGCTTATGTCAATAATATTGTGATTTTTATTTCAGATTCTTCTTGGTCATTGCTGGCACGTAGGAAAGTGTATATAACAAATAATTTTTTATTAAATACCATATATATTATAGAACCTCTGTAAGTTGATCACCCAATAGAGTATAAGAAACTGGTCAACATATGGAGGTGGTCATCATAAGAAATTAGGGTTACTGTATTGATAGGTACATATGGTACATGTCCAGTCTATGATAATTAGGTCAACTTAAGGAGGGTATCAATTTAGGGAGGAGGTGGTCAACTATGGAGGTGCTACTGGTATTTTATGTGTTAACCTTGTATCCTACAAAATTTCTATAATTACTTATTATATTCAGGATTTTTTTTTGTCAATTCTTTTGGATTTTTTACAGAGATAATCATGTCATTTGGAAACAAGTTTTATTTCTTCCTTCCCAATATGTATGTCTTTTATTTCCTTGTTTTATTACCTTATATATCACATCCAGTGTGATGCTGACTAAAGAGGAGTGGAGAAAAGGTTCATCCTTTCTTGTTTCTGACCTTAGTGGAAAAGCCTCAGGGTTTTCATCATCAGATATGTCATTAGCTTTAGGTTTTTGTAGATATTGTTTATAAAGTAGGGGAAGTCCCTCTATTCCTATTTTGCCGAAGGTTTTTGTTATGAATGGTTAGAAGTTTGTTAAATGCTTTTCCTGCATCTTTTGATAAGATGATGTGATTGTTCCTTAGCTATTGATGTCATGGATTGCATTAACTGATTTTGAGATTTTTAAACTATCCTTGCATACTTGGGATAAATCCCTCTTGGTTGTGATGTATAACTCTTTTTATAAATTGTTAGATTTTACAGGGTTCAGGTGTCTGCTCTTGTCCAAAGAATAACTAGACCTACTAAAGCAAGACAAGTGCAAAACAAGTTTATGAGGAAGAGAAAGATAGGCTTATAGAGAAAGAGCAAGATGCAGGTTTACAGAGCAAGATGCATATGCCATTGACAATGAATGGGCCAGATTCCCTTTGTAGTGAGAAAAAAGGCTCTGGTAATGGGCTGGGGTTCTCTTTTATATTGTCTGGGTTGGCCCCTCTTTATAGTTTGGAGGTTACCATGAATTCACTTTGATGGACATGATAATTAGCTCTTAATCACTTTCTAAATCCTGTTGTTAATGGGGATGCCTGTCCTGTGGGCACCCCTCTTTCCCCCACGTGTGGTAGTTAGGATTAGAGTTGGTGCAGTACCAAGATTTGGTCCACCCTTGTTCTTCTTCTCAGGTGGGGTAATCACTTGAGGCAGCACCAAGGTAGAGCACCATTTTGTCCTTTCTCTGGGAGAGCTGGAATTCTAACTATCTAACAGATTCAATTTGTTAGTATTTTGTTGAGGAGTTTTGCCTTTATATGTTTATGACTGATATTGGGCTGTTGTTTTGCTTTCTTGCAATACATTTTTATGATTTTGGTGTTAAGGTGATACTGGTCGCATTGAATGAGCTAGAAATTATTTACTCTGCTTCTGAAATTGTAGAGACTTGGTATAATTCTTTTCTCATATATTTGTTACAATTCATCAGTGAACCCATCTGGGACTGGTGATGTGTTTTGGGGAAGGTTATTAATTATGCACTGACTTTTTTTTAACAGATAGATACAGGACTATTTAGATAATCTAGTTCTCCCAGCTTGAGTTTTGGCCATATTATATCTTTAAGGAATTTATTCATTTCATCTAGGTTGTCAAATTGGTAGGCATAGAGTTTTTTATAGCATTCCTTTGTTATCCTTTTAAGTTGGTATTGTTTGGATGTGGTGTGTTCCTACTAAAATGCAAGTTGAATTTTAATTGTTCATATATAGTGTTGGGAAGTGGGACTTTTAAATAGTGATTGGATCATTAACATGAATCTTTCTTGAGAGGCTGGGTTAGTCTACAAGAGACTGAATTAGTTCTCATGAGATGTGTTGTTATAAAGCAAGTCAGCCTTTTGGTCCCCTGTCTCTTTTGCACATACCCAGTTCCTCTTCTTTTCCACTGTAGGGACTAAGAAATCAATATTCCAAAATATACATGTTGACATCCTGAACTGAAGAAGACTCAAGGTCTCTTTGATTCTCTCTCTTCCCACCATCTATCAAAGAAGTTAAAGTTCCTTTATCTGGCACTAAGGAGAATAACTGTTTTTCCTCCCCCCTCTAAGACCACAAATGTCACTATAGTTGAACAGACCCTTTCAGTGACAAAGAGAACTATTTAAAAGTTAATCTCTGTTTCAGAATCCATTCATTCTCCCTAGTTTCATAGTAATAATTTATTGTCCCTGAACAGAATTCCTCTTTACTTCCCTCCCATAATCTGTTTTGCTAGGCTGGCACAGAAGTTACTGAACTTTCTTGGGAGGGAGGAGTGGGGAGTGGGTAATAACTGTGAGTCTCTCTGTGTATACACATTTAATAAATTTGTATGCCTTTTCTCCAATTAATCAGGCTTTTGTGAGTTGATTTTTTTCTGTGAAATCAGGGAGCCAAGGGTCTTAGCCCTTATGCCAGCATGCATGATACTGCATGAAGTCCTCACAAGATATTGACCAGGTGTGGCTGCTTGATCTTGGAGCTCCCAGACTTCAGAATCTTGAGCCAAATAAACCTCTCTCCTTAACAAATTACTTAGTTGGAGGCATTTTGTTATAGTAATAGAAGACAAATTAAGATAGAAAATTGATATTGAAAGTGGTGCTATTGCTACAAAAATGCTTGAAAATGTGCAAGTGGCTCTGTAACTGGATAATGGACAGAGGTTGGAACAGTCTGGACAAATGTAGCACGTTAGGAGTGATTCTGATGAAGGCTGAGAAGACCAGATGACCGGGGAAAATCGTCGTGACCAGAATGTTGATGAAAATGACAGTAAAGGCTACTCTGATGAGGTTTCAGAAGGAACCTAGGAACAAAGTATTGGGAACTAGAATAAAGGCCATGTTTATTTTGCAATTGCAAATAACCTGGCTGCATTGTGTCCATGCTATAGGGCTTTGGGGAAGTGGGAACTTAAGAGTGATGAAGTAGGATTTCTGGTATAATAAATCTCTAAGCAAAATACAGTAGTTGCATTGTTTCTTTTAACTTCATACAGTAAAATTTAAAAGCAAAAGGAAGCAGAGCACAAAATTTTGGAAAATTTTTAGCTTGCCTTGTAAAGAGCAAGAAGTGTGTTTGACAGGACAAAATAAGGGCGTGGCCAAGTGACTAGTTACTGAAGACATCATGCCTAGAAGGGAGCTAGGTACTAGTTAAGACAATGGGAAAATGACCTCAAAGTCCATTTCAGAGATCTTTAAGGCTGCCCTTCCCATCACAGGTCCAGAGTTCTAAGAGGACTGAATGGTTTCAGGGGATGTGTTCCTTCCCAGGACGTCCTTATTGCCCAGGGTTGCCTGAGGTCTCTTTCTTTCCTTGCATTCAGGTGCAGTGCTTCCCTTTTTACTTGAGGTGTGACTCAAGTGCAAAGCTCAACCTTTTGCTCAAAAAGGTAGAAGCCATAAACCTTAGTGGAGCTCTTTGTTTGCTGAATAATAATCGCTGTTCTCTCTGCTTCTTTACCCTGGAGTCATTCTTAACTTTCTCTGTATAGGACATCATCTATTTGGAACCTAGGCATAGTTTTTGAGGCATTTTCCAGGGCTTGCATTCTAGTGATGGACCTACCCAGATCAAGGAAATGACTCAACTGGTCTTGGATCCCTCCCTGCCATCCAAGGAACTACATTCCTGTGGATCAGCTGACCACTCATATAGTGGCCCTTACCAAAGGACTGATGGTTCCTCTGTAAAAAACCATTCAAACAGCAGAGCCTGATTGCCTAAATACTTGCCTTCCAAACTGTCTTTATTTTATTTTATTTTATTTTGAGACAGACTCTCACTCTGTCACCCTGGGTAGAGTGTGTGACATCACAGCTCACAGTGACCTCCAATTCCTGGGCTTAAGCAATTCTCTTGCTTCAGCCTCCTGAGTAGCTGGGCCTACAGCACCCGCCACAACACCCGGCTATATTTTCATTGCAGTTGTTGTTGTTTTGGCAGGCCTGGACTAGATTTGAACCTGTCAGTTCTCGTGTATATAGCTGCTTGAGCTACAGGTGCTGAGCCCCAAACTGTCTTTAAAAACCCCATCTTCTGCATTAACTAAGATAGACTATCATTGGATTAAAGATTTAAACTTAAGACATGAAACTATAAAAATACTAGAAGTAAGTGTGGGGAAAATACTTGAAGAAATCAGCCTGGGCAAATATTTTATGAGGAGGATGCCCTGGGCAATTGAAGGAACATCAAAAATACACTACTGGGACCTGATCAAACTAAAAGCTTCTCGACAGCCAAGAACACAGTAAGTAAAGCAATTGACCGCCCTTAGAATGGAAGAAGATATTTGCAGGTTATGTCTCTGACAAAGGTTTAATAACCAAAATCCACAGAGAACTCAAAGGTATTAGCAAGAAAAGAACAAGTGATCCCATCTCAGGGTGGGCAAGGGACTTGAAGAGAAACTTCTCTGAAGAAGGCAGGCTCATGCCCTACAGACATATTAAAAAAATGCTCATCATCCTTAATCATCAGAGAAATGCAAATCAAAAGTACTTTAAGATACCATCTAACTCCTGTAAGATTAACTCACATAACAAAATCCCCAAACCAGAGATGCTGGCGTGGATGTGGAGAAAAGGGAACACTTCTACACTGCTGGTGGGAATGCAAACTAATTTGTTCCTTTTGGAAAGATGTTTGGAGAACACTTAGAGAACTAAACATAGACCTGCCATTTGATCTTACAATTCCTCTCCTAGGTATATGTCCAGAAGACCAAAAATCACACTACAACAAATATATTTGTATAAGAATGTTTATTGCAGCCCAATTCATAATTGCTAAGTCATGGAAGAAGCCCAAGTGCCCATCGAACCATGAATGGATCAATAAATTGTGGTATATATACACCATGGAATATTATGCAGCCCTAAAGACTTTACCTCCTTCATGTTTACATGGATGGAGCTGGAACATATTCTTCTTAGCAAAGTATCTCAAGAATGGAAGAAAAAGTATCCAATGTACTCAGTCCTACTATGAAACCAATTTATAGCTTTCATATGAAAGCTATAACCCAATTATAGTCCAAAAAGAAAGGGAAAGGGGAGAGGGAGGGGAAGGGGGAGGCTGGGTGGAGGGAGGGTGATCGGTGGGATCACACCTATGGTCCATCTTACAAGGGTACATGTGAGTCTTTCTAAATGTAGAATACAAATATCTTAACACAATAACTAAGAAAATGCCATGAAGGCTATGTTAACCAGTTTGGTGAAAATACTTCAAATTGTATATGAAACCAGCACACTGTACCCCATGGTTGCATTAATGTACACAGCTATGATTTAATAATAATAAAAAAAGAGTGACACATCATGCCAATGATTTATTGCTGGATATAAGAGTAATATATGGCCAGTCACTCTCAAGCCCATGCTAGAAATAAGTGCAGGGAATATGATGTGAATAGAAAGGATACAAGTAGAGAAGGAGGAAGAGATACACTACTCTTCTACTTAAGAGTGTAGAGTGAGGTGTCATCTAAAGAATGTAAACCACCTGCCTGTTTTCCCAAATCTATCAGTTGTTTTGAGTTGAGAGGATGAAGAAAAAGCAGTAGGCAGCCTTGCTCACAAATTGCCCACCAAGTGAGAAGCAGACAACTTTGGAAAACAAGGACAACTGTGAATCTTTTTGTTTTTCTTGAAGAGGAGAATTTAATAATTCAGACTTTGTTTTGCTTCTTAAATTTGTCATTTAACTAAACTGTTAGATTTTTACTTTCACCAGTTTGCATAAGGGTCTACATTTTGAATACATCCTTGATCACTGTCATGATTCCACAAGATGGCAGTGTCTTCTTAAGGACCTTGATGAAATCTCTTAAGTGTTTCAGAGAGAGAGAGAGAGAGAGAGAGAGAGACAGACAGATATGATATATCAGGGGAGTGGCAAAGCAGGGGTGATGAAAAGAATCTCTTTTTGCTAATTGGCAGAACGGAAACTTTTTATGATTCTTAAAGCAGATAATCAGAATTGCTTAAGTTAGGTTCTTTTTTCTTTTTTAAGGTTTAAAATTTGAGTCCTCAGTGAGCTGTGGAGATGAAATACTTGAGAGTTCTACTAGCCATCCTGTGGATTCATTTAAGCTGTGAGTTTTGGGCCTCTCTACTGGTAATTATAATAGTACAATATTTGGATATATTTGGAGTTATTATCTATCTTAGGGCATCAATAAAGACATAAGTGTCTTTTCCTTCTATCCAATGTTGGTAATGGGTGGGAAGTCTGTGAAAAGATAATTTTAATTTTGAGGAGTTAGCATTTACTACCCAACCAACCTTCTTTGTCTGAATATTGTCTTTTGTACAGGGGTGAGAAGCCAACAGAAGGAGGTGGAGCAGAATCCTGAATTTCTCCCTGTTTCTGAGAAAGCCATGGCCTCTTTCAACTGTACTTACAGCAATAGTGCTAATCAGTACTTCGTGTGGTACAGACAATATTCTGGGAAAGGCCCTGAAATGTTGGTCTCCATATACTCGGGCAATGAGAAAAATACAAATGGAAGGTTTACAGTACATCTCAATAAAGCCAGCAAGCATGTCTCTCTGCTCATCAAGGACTCCCAGCCCAGTGACTCAGCCACCTACCTCTGTGCAGTCAGCACACAGTGCTCCCCAGGCACCTGCAGCCTGTAGTCAAACCTGCTAGGGCCCCAGGAACGCCTGGGAACATAGATTAGACTGCAAGGCAGAGATGTTCTCTTTGCCCTCTAGACGCAAACAGAAGTTAAAGATAATAGTATGGAGGGATTGATTAATAAGGAAAGTCCTTTCACAATTCTGAGTGAAAGGAAATGAAAGAAAGACATGATACTGCTCTGGACAAAATATTTTCCACTCTTATTTTTCTACTCTAGTTTTAAAAAAATTATTTAAAGTTATTGTTGAGATATGACTGGCAGACAAAATGCACATATTTACTTGGTACGTGTTGATGTATTTACAGACAAATATAAACCTGTTAAATCATTATCATAATCTACACACCACAAATATTTCCATTATCTCTAAAAGTTTTCTTCCTTCTTTTTTTATTGAGTTATAATCAATACACAAAAAGGTGCATATATTTAACATATACATCTTGATGTCCACTCTGGTTTTATGCCACAACTTATCTTAATGGTATTGATTTTATGATTTCTTTTATATATAAGAAGAAAATATTTTAATAGAATAATAGATATTCCCTCACAATTCCTCGTTTACCTTGGTCTTGCCTCATTTAGTTACTCAAGATCTTTGACAGTCATATCAAAAGTTATTTGCTCTAGAAATGCAGTGGAAAAATAGGAAGGCAAAGGGAAGAAAAGTCATAAAATCCTACTTTGGAAAGCTGTAAGTTACACTTTTATAGATACCCATTTCCACCCTTAGTTGTAACTTCACTTCCCTGCCGGATATGGATACATTTGATGGTAAATGGAAGATACGTAGAGTCAGGGGATGAGAACTAGTTAAAATAAAAGTCCATTTTTATTTTATTTTTCTATTGCTTGTGATCTTACATTTAAGTCTTTAATCCATTTTGAGATACATTTTTTACATGGGTCACTATGAAAGTTTTGAGACAGACTGTGTTATTCATTATTTCACTTCCAAGAAACACAATCAACAGTGTCCTTTCTGATTCACCCATGCAATATCTTACATTTCTTAATTTCTGAGTATCCAAAACTTCTGTAACGACCTGTATACCAATATAATATTGGTATATGATGAGAAATAGGGACCCAGTTTCATTCTCTGCATGTGTCTATCCAATTTTCCCTGCCCCATTTATTGAATAGTGCATCCTTTCTCTTGTGTATGTCTTTGTGTGCTTTTTCAAGATCAGTTGGTTGTATGTATACAGTTTTGTTTCTGGGTTCTCCATCATGTTCCATTGGTCAGTGTGTCTACTTTTATACCAGTAAAAAAGAGACAGCTCTGTTATTAATTGTACTTATTCAAAGAGTGCTTTGGACTACTTGCCTTAATACAAGCAAAAACTTGGAAAATGTCCTCAATTCATTATAGACAGTCATTCAAATACAGACAAAAAGCAAGAGCAAAGGTTCATGGTTTTATTAAGGAAGACAGCCAAACATCTCTTCCTGCACATTGCAGCTGCCCAACCTGGAGACTCAGCTGTCTACTTATGTGCAGAGAGTGCACATCCTGTATATCTGTAATCTAGATGCCAACCTGGGACTGGGCATGAATCTACACTCCCTTTCCTTAAACATAGACCTTTAATTTACATAGTAAAAATGAGCAGTCAGGTAGAGAGATCCATAGGGCAAGCTATAGGCAGTGGATACGGAACTACCATTCTTTCTTTGGCCGTGTCCAGCAATCAGGAAGCTCCATCTAATGGATTCTTTAAGGCAATGAGTGAAGTTTTATTTTGAAATTTAGGCTTTAAAGATGACTTTACCTTTGCTATTTCGAACCCTTTTGTGTCAATAACTCACTAGTATCCACATCACAATCCCTTTACAGTTGAACTTTCAACTTTTGTGTTTTAAAAATTGCTTTTGTTAGTTTTTTCTGATTGTAAAACATTGTATGCCAAACATTGGAAATAGAAAATTGATAATTCTGTGAGCTTAGATAATTTTTTGCTAAGGTTTGGTTAATTTCTTCTTAGACTCTTATTATAATGATGGTCATGATTTTTCACTTATTTTATCTTGAGTTGAGGATTTCTCCTATCATCAAATATTTTCCTCAAACACATGCTTTTTAATAGCTCCTTGACAGATTTTCTTAAGTCAGTGATTTTCACTTTTTTCTTCTTTATATTTATTGTAAAATTTGACAGCCCTTTCTACTTGCTATTTCGTGTTGACACAATGTGACTTAGGCTTTCCTTTAGAGTTTAATTAGGATGTATGCTGTTCATGTATTTGAGGAAAATTATGATAGGAAATAATTTGAGGATGTGAGATTAGACTCACCAATCTTTCCTTCTTTTTCAAAATACTTATTAATATCTGTTATTCTTAACTTTTCCAAGAATTAAGAAGGGAAAGCTGTATGTTTTAATTGCAAGCTTTTTTTTTTTTTTTTCCGAGACACAGTTTCATTATGTCACCCTCGGTAGAGTGCCATGTCATCACAGCTCACAAACCTCAAACACTTGGGCTTAAGTAATTCTCTTGCCTTAACCTCCCAAGTAGCTTGGACTAAAGGCACCCACCACAATGCTTGGCTATTTTTTTGCTGTAGTTGTCATTGTTGTTTAGCAGGTCTGGGCTGGGTTCAAATCTACTGGCCCCAGGTGTATGTGGCCAGTGCTCTGGCCACTGAGCTATGGGCACCGAATCAACTGAAAGATTTTTCACATAGTTAATAATCAGTAGATGTTTGCTAAAGAAAGTAGAAAGAAGTAAATTCTGCTCTAGTATATTTAATTTATTTTTTGTGGTTAAATTAAATTTCTAAATTGATATGTGAAGAATAAAACAGTTTAAAAAGTATAGTTGATTACATGATTGTTCTATAATGTAATATTTCTTGCTGCTTATCTATGTCTTTCTTTTTCTGTGGAAATTTTTTCATTTTAAGGTAGTTAAATTTATTCCCAGACATTTAATTTCCCTGCCTCCCTCCCTCCCTCCC